ACACATATTTAATGTTTTCCCTGCAAGCCTGAATTAAGCGCTGTGGTAATTTAAACGCTATTTAGAAATTGTGTCTTATTCCAGGAATTAAAACGGTCAAGGGGAAGAAGTGCTTGGAGAGAGAGGAAACACGTTTTCCAAGGCTGTTTGATCCAATGGAAAAGAGCACAAGATTGGGAGCTAGAAGTCCACTCACTAATAAACTGGGAAAGTAACTAAATACTACTCGAGTTAGTGACTTCAGTTTATCTAATAAAGGGCACTAGATTATACGAAGATCTATTTAGGTTAACATCTTCAGTAATCTGAATCTCTGCCTCTGCAGTCAGGCTGGAGTTGATCACCGAAGTCACACTGTAGAACTTGCCTTTTTTTTAGGAACGGCCCTTTCACGATCCATTCTGAACACCCAGTGAATTTGAAATTTTTTATGCATACAGGAAGACTGACAGTGACTGTTTTAAAGGATTTTACTATCTCCAAAAGACCTAATGTTTACAGCTACAATCTGCCATGGCACCTTCGGTTTTACCTATTTGCGGTTCCATCAGGTTCACCTTGGTTAGGGAGATAGAACACAAATAGAGCCTCTATCTAGAATCCAGCTATTATATTTTGAGACTTCTTTTTGGAACCATCAAGCAAAAAATGAATTCCTTGAGCTTTCAAAATATATCACAAAGGCCATGTGTTTATAACATTTTCTGAATGCTCCTCAAATCCTGCGCATTCATTTTTTTAAAAGTGTTTACCTTGAGATAATTGTAGAGTGACATACAGAACTCCCATACACTTTTCACCTAGTTTCTTTCAATTGTAACATCTTGTGTAATTATAGTGATATCAAATCCAGGAAATCGACACTGATACATTCACTTGTCACATCTCACCAGTTTAACATGCACTTATGTGTGGAGCGACCATGTTTAGATTCCAGTGATCACCACCAGTTAAGGTACAATTCCATTACAAGGATCATTCCTAACATTTTTTTTTTCATGAAAAACTTTTTATTGGCCGTTTGGATAGAAATGGGAATTTATTTGCCAGGAAGGATGATCCCATCATACTTCTGCTGGAACCAGCGAGTGCATGACCTCCTCTTTGCTGATTCTGTGTTTGGCCCCAATGCAGCCTGTCCTGAGTTTCTCGTCTGCGATGCTGAAACCTGGCCTACCCAGCACCACATAGGAGTCCAGGCCGTAAATACCAATGCTTGGATCGTATTTGATTCCCAGATCGATGTGTTCCTGGATCCCAAAGCCAAAGTTTCCAGTATCTGAGAAGTTATTTTTTCGTAACTCGTACTCTCGAACCTTCAGACCTTTCTCCAAGATTTCTTCTGCCTTGGCCCCACGGACTGTGCAGTGGACAGCAATCTTTTCATTTCTCCTGACGCCGAAGGATCTAACGGTGTACCTAGCTTTGGAGAACACATGGGTCTGGCCTGTGAGCTGCTCCAGGACCTTGGCTGCCCGGGTCAGCCTGTCTCTGCTCTCCCCAACACAGATGTTGAGGCAGAGCTTGCGGATGCAAAGCTCCCGCATGGGGTTCTCCTTTTCACCTTGATCCTGTGCCACCATCATGAGACAGGAAGAGCCCTAACATTTTATAGTCACAGCCACTTCCCTCCATAACACCTGGCAACACTAACCTGCTCTCCATTCTATAATTTTGTCATTTCAAGATGTAATATAAATGAAATATATGATGTAACCTTTTGAGATTGGCTGTTTTTCACTTAGCATAATTCTCTTGAGATCAACTCAAGATGTGTGTACAACAGGTTGTTCCATTTCTGTGTATTCATTTTTAACATAAGAGTTTTACAAATGTAGTTTATCTGGTTTCCAAGCCCACTTACCAAGAAATGACAATCTCTGGGCCGGCCGAGTGGTGCGATGGTTGGGAGCTGGCTTGGGACGCCAGAGGGCCCTGGTTCGGATCCCACATGTGAGGCCCGGTGACACTGCCCTCCACAGCTAAGATGCTGAACAACAGCAGCTTAACCTGGAGCTGGGTTGCCATGAGTCGCTGGCGACAGCTAGGCTGCAGCCCCTGTGGCAGTGGGTTGCCATGGGCTACCGTGTGTAGCCAGCAGCTGCAGTGAGCGGCCTTTTAGAAGCCGGCGACTGATCTCCCTCACCCGGGAAGAGCACAATGATGGTGCCAACTTGGGTCAGTGAAGCACAACTAGACTGAAGAACAAAACAACAGCAACTTGTCTGTTCCCCTTCCCCCAATTCCCCAGTGCTGTTCTCATCCAAATTCCCCAATAAAATCTTTAAAAAAAAAAAAAAAGGAAATGACAAACTGTTGGCATGAAATGAAGCCCAAGAGAGCATAAAAACTAGACTTAGCAATAAGAAAGCTCAGCAGTTTAGGGTCATAGTGATGGTGTAGGGCTAATGGCACCCCCCTTGAGTTGTCCTGGAGGTTCCACTGTGTTATGGAATAAAATTTGAGGCTTATCATGACCAAGCTATTAAGTAAACTGTTAAATATGGGAAAAGGCAAGAAAATGTAGTTTTATAAAACCTCATTTAAGGTCTGTACTTAAAATTGTCATAGGTAGTGTATATACTATTATATATTCTTAAAATAACAACTTGTTGAACAGGTATCAGAACTTTACATAGTCTAATTCTTCCTGACTTATTATAGCATGCACTTTGTTTTGGGACTTATTTCTACTCTAGCATGTAATTACATCACTTTGAATGCTTTTTTTTTTTTTTTAAAGATTTTTATTGGGGGAATTGGGGGAATGGGAACAGTGCTGGGGAATTGGGGGAAGGGGAACAGACAAGTTGCTGTCGTCTTGTTCTTCAATCTAGTTGTGGAGGATGTTGCTTCACTGGCCCAAGTTGGCACCATCATTGCGCTCTTCTCTGGCGAGGCAGATCAGTCGCTGGCTTCTGGACGGCCGCTCACTGCGGCTGCTGGCCGCTCACGCTGGCTGCTGGCTACATACGGTAGCCCATGGCAACCCACTGCCACAGGGGCTGCAGCCTACGCCGTCACCAGCGACTCATGGCAGCCCAGCTCCAGGTCGAGCTGTTGTTCAGCATCTTAGCTGTAGAGGGCAGTGTCACTGGCCCTCATATGTGGGATCCGAACCGGGGCCCTCTGGCATCCCAAGCGAGTTCTTAACCATCGCGCCACTCGGCCGGCCCCTTGAATGCTTTTTAAATTATAAATTATTGGAGAGCAAAAACTTGTCATATACCAAGAATCATAAAAACTTACATGTCTAGGAAATCAAGGCCTAGAGAAATGGAACTTAACCAAAACCGCAAAATGGTCAAACACTGAAAAAGCTGTGACCAGAACCTGAATCCGTCACCTACCTTACTGCCTCGTTTTTAACCATACCGGTACTTCAAAGATGCACATATAGATGCTTAATAAATTCCAGGTGAACTGAGTATTATCTTTATATCAAAGTGATAGGTTTTATGAGAGGACATTAGGAATTTTGTTTATAATTAACAGACTAAATGGAATAATTGAGTATAACAACTAGATAAAATGACATGAAAAGGCATCACAATGAACTCTGTATAGCGGGGTTGAATCTTATTGGGGTGAGGAAAATTTCAAGTTCTAAAGTCAGTGTATGACTAAAATCAGATATTGAAAAAAATTACTAAATTGCTCCCCAAGTACAAATATGGATCAGTTTTTTTTTTTCAGTTGAGTGCCAGCCAAGTTTGGTTTACATTTAGGGAACAGTGTACAAAAATGATGAGAGACACACACACACAGTCTTTAAATAGAATCACTTAACAAAAAGACAAAGGCTCACACCATGATAGGCACAGGGGAAGAGACCTGCCTGAGAAAAGAGATTATGAAATTTCTCTCTTATGCTCCCTCTGGCAGACTATACTGCCATTGAGTCTGAAGGTAGGGGGGGCAACTCCCTCGTTTTATTTTGTGTTTGTGCAAGTTACATGTGCTTGATGTAACTTCATTGTCAATTAAATAGCCACATGGTACTTTTGGCCTTGTCCCAAGTTCAAAGGGCAGATTCTTGAGGCTACTCCAAAGTGGAGACTAACATTTCACACATTCCTGTATTTAGTCAGGTTTTTCTCTTAACAAGGTGGCCAGTTTCTCTTACCACTCTCCCCTCACAAGTCAGAGAAATTTAAACCTACAAATGCTTTTAAAGCTTTGGGCAATCTGGAAAAAAATTAAACTAACATTTTAAGAATTTTTGAGTATACAAGGTATTTTCACATAAATTGTCCCATTTAACCCTCAGAATAATTCTCTGCAGGATTTCCTTAAAATAAGGCTAAGCAACTTCCCTAAAGCCAATAGCAGCTAATTAGCAGAATTAGGTCTAAAATCCAAGTTCCCTATCTAATAAATGAACTGCTCCTCTCCAGAAAGACATGGGTCTTAAAAAATAACTCCTCTAGGCTTCTTAGCGCAAAATTTTGGATTACTGCTTTTGTTTTTAAAATCAATTTCATTTTATTTTGCATGAAAGATAAAAGTTGTTGTGCAATATCTCGGTACACAGTGCACAAGAATAATGGAAGACAGCCTCAAGATTATGCTGGAGTGTGGTTGAGCAGGATAAGAGGAAATGACAGTTTCAGATTAAAATTTCCCTTTTGTTATTTCTGAAAAAGTTTCCTACACTGAGAGCAGAGCTATCATTACTGCCATCTGCTGGTTGGAAAGAAAAACAGTTCACATGTTAATCATCTTGCTACTGCTATTGCTTGAAGTGGTGGTTTCTTAGGTTTTATCAGAATCTCCAGAGCTGAACCCTGAAATTTGTATTCTGAACCAAATCTCCATGAATTCTCATGCAGCTAGTCCATACACTGGGGAACTAGTATAAGGCTGTGATAGATAAGAGTTATTATCTTTTCCCATCACTAAAAATAAGGCAATTTGACAAACACGGCAAATGACCAGTTGTAATCCCAGACTATTTATATAGTTGAGGCTACTTTAAAAGACAAACAAAAACTCAATACACCAATAGGTGAAACAATTTTATTTCACAGTTGTCTTTAAAACCACAAAGACACTATATTCTTTATATAAAAACATTAGTACAGATAACTATACTTTCTAGAAAATGATTATATAGACCCTCTCAAAGAAAAATGCATCACAATATATGGTTTAGTGAAGGGGATCGGAAAAAAATCACACCTGGACTGATTCTTAAAACATACCATGTCACCATTACAGATCTTTTGGTTCAAAGTATAGATTATTGTCATCAGTACATGTTCTTGCATTCTTACATATTTGATAATACACATATAGACTGATTCATCGCTTAATGCTCCATTGGTTCATCGGCCTTTTCTGCAGGTTCATCAGCAGGTTGAGCAGGCTTAAAAGGGGAAGAAAAAAGAAAATGGGTAATACTATGTTATACAAAATTTATGAGAAAAAGGAGTTAGGTGATACTTTGAATACTCAATTTTAGTTCACTGTCCTGTTGAAATTTCTAACCAAAGGATTTTTTAAAGATATAATTTTATAGTTCTGAAAACCTAAACATCATCTAACAATTCTAGCGTTTTTATCACACTTTGTCTTGCTCAAGGATAAAAGGCCTTCCTTTTATCATCACTACTAGCCTTAAAATACAATCGGCACATTTTAGATTTCCTTTTCCTCTTTAGCACTAATAAACACAGCAAAAATATGACCAAACAAACCACTTGCGTGGCGCTCTATTGCATTCTTCCCAAAAGTGCTGGTTCTTACCAACTGCGATTAAAATAATGCAAATCTTGCTCCTACAAATAGTACCAACAATATCCTTTTCAAATTGAAGAGGAATTCATGCTGGTAGAAGAACTTTCTGTACAGGACATTTTACTTCCAATTACACGGCTATTGAGGAAGCATCTATAAATAGCAAATGTGCATTCTAAATATCCAATATAAAAGATCAGTATTTAACCTGGGATTCACCAACACTTCTTGTTCCTTTCCTCAGGATTTGTGAAGAGCCAGCTTAGTTTCCAAAGCTGGTTCCGGTGAACTTTCTCCCAGTCCTCCCTCTTATAGACTCCTGGCTGGTCCTATAGCTTACTTCAGCCAACAGAATGTGCAGAAGTGATGCTGTGCCAGCACTGAGCCTTGGCCTTAAGAATGCCTGGCAGCTTTCACATTTAAGCTTTTGAACTTTTGCAAGCGCTGAGCTGCTATACTGCTAGAGAGACCCTGGTGAAGGAGAGGCCCTGAGACTACACGGACAGAGGCCCAGCCATCCTAGCAGAGGTCCCAGTCTTATTCTCTCTAAGATACCTAGAAAATGAGTAAAGGTGACATATGAGTAAAGCCATCTTGGATGTTCCAGCCCCACCCCCTTAATGACAGCAATGTTTTGGAGACTCAAGTGAGACCAGCAAAAGAACCATCAGCTGTGCCCCGGTCAACCCACAGAATTGTGAGAAAGACAGATAACTAAATCATCAACCCTTTTTGTGTTTATGGAGACCACTGCCCCCTCAGTATTTCACTTTACTCAGCTCTTAGTTTTCCTACTGCGATTTTAATTACTAGCTTATCTCAATAATTAAAGACAAAAAAAATGGTAGATTTACAGTTGTAGTAGGAACAGTGGTTTACTATATAACTAATAAAGTCTCTTGTGTTATGATTAGTTACATACCTGTACTTTTCTCTGTGGCCTTTCTTCAAGACCTTCCAGGAATGGAGACACATCGTCATCATCATATATTGTAAACTCCAAGTCTTTACCAACAATTCCAATGGAAACATTCTGAGGGAGGAAAAAAGTAAAAATTAAAAAATCAAGAGAATTTACGTTGGAAAATGCTTATGATAAAATGTTGGATGAAAAAAAGCAGAAAAAAATATATAGCACTTGAATAAGACTTAAAAATACTAAGTGTAGGGAAAAAAGAAGAAAACTAGTAAGCCCTTGTAATTTACATATATAAATATTCACTTGTGATAATCATGAGTAACCCCAAATAAAGATCTGTCACCTAGAAAATTTTCACATTGGCTCATAATGGGAAGGTGTTGCAGACCAGTCAGTTTGAGGGAACAAACCACTTAGCTAGAAAGTAAACCTAACTCCTAAGAAATAACCAAATTTGTTTCTTGAGTAAGTTAAGACATGATGGTTCTTAATAAGGAAACAGTAAGTTTTGGGTTCTAATGCATTGAATTTAGTGGGGATTAGGAACTGTTTTAAACAGGAAAACTAAACAGCAATACTTAAAATGTTCAATGAATGCTAACCAGTGCAAAATAGCTCCTTTGAAATTAAAATTTTAGTGCAAGTTTTAGGCATAAGGATATATAAGCCATTTTCAATGATTCAGTAAAATTATGAAACCAGGAAGCCAGACACTTGAACAAACTTTTCCAAATTGTAAATATCAAGAGTCAACTGTATACCCAGTTTTTAAAAGACAGTCATCGTGGAGTGATACCATAATAGGTATTTTAAACAAATTTTAAAAGTACAATGTGCTTTCCTAATTTTTTTGAAAGAATATTATTTTTATAATAGGAAAACTTGTTTAGAAGATTATGCAGGCTATAAAGCCTATGTGAAGAACATACATATCGAATAATAATTATCCAACCACTATAACAAAATGGATTTATATATGCTGACTGATCTCACTTGAATTAATGATCATGAATTTCAAAGAGTCCTTTAGTGGTTCCTGCATTGTACTATACAGGTCCCTAGATCATTCATTCTCCCCTTCTCCTGGACAGCTATATTATTCTCCATTCTCTTTGAAGCTGAAAACCTTGCTCCGATTTCACTGAGAAAATAGAAGTAAATTAAGAAGAGAATGAATGTTCACAGTATCCACTCTTTTGTATTCTCTCCCTTCCTGCTACTGTGAATGAACAGTACAACTTCTAAAAGGCCGACCTTTCCACTTGTGTAATGTTCAAAGAAATTGCTCTAGCAACTTTTCCATATTTCTCCTACATGTTTCCCTTTATACTGAATTATTCTCATAACCATACAGCAAACTTGCTGTAATTTCTCCCATCTTAAAAAAAAATAACAAACCCTTTTTTCACTACATTCTCTTCCAGCCACTGTTGCATTTCTCTGGATCCACAACATACTATCTACATATCCTCCAAAGAGCTGTCTCCAATTCCTCTTCTCCCATTCTTTCCTGATTCCATTCCTACCAGGCTTTTGCCCCATTAATCCATTATGACTATTTAGTCAAGCCCCCAGTGACATCATTACTAATCTAATGGTTAATTCTCAATCCACATCTTCCTTGATCTAGTAGCAATTTTTCATTCCTTCCTCCTTGAAATAGTTCCTTCATTTGCTTTTAAGGATGCCTCATTTTCCAAGTTTTCCTCCTACCTCTTGGGCCATCTTTCTCAGGCCTTTTTGCTGATACCTACTCACCTCCCAATCTCTACAGGTTAGAGTGCCCTTGGCCAAGTCTTTAAACCTCTTGTCTAACTAATTCCTTTAGCAATCTCATCCAGTCCAGTTTCTAAAAGCCATTTCTGCATAAAGACTCCAAACTTTGTAACTCTAGGCTAGACCATTCTCCACCAAACTCCAGGGAGTGCACATCTGGTAACTGCTCAGTCTATACTGCCAAATGGTCAAACAATAGGCATTTCAAATTTTATGTCCTAAACTAACTGCCTGATCGTCCTTCACAAACGCTACCCCAAAACCTGTTCTTCCCATTGTCTTATCCATCCAGTAAATCATAAATCTCTTTTTTCAGTCAGGCCAAAAACCTTGAAGACATCCTTTTTAAAAATCTCATACCCCACTACCAATTCGTTAGCAAAACTTTTGGCTCTAGTTTCAAAACATACCAAAAAACTGAATCCTTCTCATCATCTCCATCTCTATGACTACTCTAATCCACCACGATCTCTCACCTGAATTACTGTAACAATCTTAAAACTATTTCCACCCATGCCAATACAATCTGCTCTCTAAATAACAACCAGAGTGAATCTTAAAACCTACATCAAATCATGTATTCCTCTGCTCAAATTCTAAGAGCCCACTCAGAGAAAAATCCGAAGTACTGACAATGGTTTATAGGAGACACACAGGCTGGCCTCCATTACCTCTGACTTCCTTCCTTATCTTCCTCTTAATCACTGACTCCAACATTACTGGCCTCTTTGTCTCAAATACTAGAAACATTCTGGACCCAAGGCCCTTGCACTTGTATTCCCTGGAATAATCTTGCTCTAGACATCAGCATGGCTCACTCACTCACCTCCTTTAGCTCTTTTCCTCAAATTCCACTTTCTCAGTTAGGCCACCCTTGACCACCCTATTTTGAATCATACCCACCACACCTCCTTCCTATACCCAATTGGCCATTCTTTCTCCTCTTAACCTGTTTTATTGTTTCTGTAGCATTTATCACGTTCTACTATACTACATAATTTACTTATGGGCACACTGTCTATCTCCCCCTACTTGGATGCATGTACCATAAAGGCCAAGATGTTTATGGTGTTTACTATACTCTCAATGCTTAGTGCCTGCACGTGGTAGGTGCTCTATATGTATATTTGTCAACTGAATTAAAAATATGAAGATATTCTTATCTGCTGACAAAATAAAGGACATTCTACATCAGACTTACTGGTTTTACTGCTTTATATAAAAAAGAAATGTTTAAAAATTGTTTCAAAATCCGATCACTTAGTGAATAACTTAAAGAGAAACAATGAGCCAAGGCAACCATCTCCCAAATTTAAAGAGCTATAAGCACATACTCTTCTATTACTTATATTTATGGAATAAATGATTAAACTGCAATGTTAATATCTACAATTAGAAAACATGATTTTTACCTTTGTAGTTAAGTCCTGTTCTGCAGGAAGTGTCTCTCGTAAGGCACGCAGACCATGCTTAACCAGTTCATTCAAGTTACCTATATGTAATAAGTTTAACAATTATTTCTTAATTTCATCTTCATGCTAGGCTTTTTATCTGTTGGGTCTAGTCTAAAATCTTGGTTTTAGTCACATACTAAATATCTGTATATCACAATAAAAACAGCCAAAAGTTTAATGTTTAGCTCTGTAATCTTCTAATAACACTGCTGACTATTGTTTTATTTAATGACAGGACACATGATTTTTGTTACTAAATTTGACATTTAAGTTAAATCAAAATCCTGATTCATAAAAATACAGCTCAAAGTTTTGTAGAATGTATCCTGTGGAATTCTAGTTGCTATATTCGCTCTTTATAGAAGAAGTCTCCAACTCTTTCTATGTGGCCAGTATTACCCTGATACCAACACTAGACAGAGACATCACAAGAAAATAAAATTACAGATCAATATGCCTTATGAATATTTACACAAAAAAACCTCAACAAAATACCAGCAAACTGAATTCAGCAACGTTTATGTTTATATAAACATTTATACATACAATTTATATTATATGCTATGGTCAAGCTGGTTTAACATCAAGTCATTCAATGCAATATACCACAATAGAATGAAGGGGGAAAAAAACCACATACTCACCTCAATAGGTGATTTAAAAAGCATGTGTTAAAATCCAAGATCCTTGCATAAGAAAAGCCCTTAAAAACCTGCCCTATCATCATGTCTTACAATCACATCTTACATCTTCTACCTTTCTTTACCACAGCTACACTGACTTTTTACTTGTTTATGGATTAATGTAAAAATGTGTATAGCAAGAAGAAAGAATGGAATCGTAGACAACTAAAAGTTGTAAACATAACTTAAAATTGGTAGCTAGTACAGTGTTTCTCAACTCTGGCTGCGGCACACTGCAGATGAATAGAATCAAGAATCTTCAAGGTTGGGGACACATAGTTGTATTTTTAAATATTGGTGAATAAAACTGCTGTGGTAGTCAGCAGGGGTAAAAACTTAGTAACAGAAATAATAAACACTTCGTGGGCTTAATTAAAAAAAAACTCTTTCTGTAAGGCTGATCGTTTTCTTCATATAGGATACTATGTTAACTCACTATGTAAAGAGTGGAGGGGGGCAAAAAAAATCACTTACACTCCATAAACTCAGACATATGTCTCTCCAAGTAAGTACGAGCTGATTGAGATCGGGCTCCAATGGACATAGCTCTGCAGTCAAAATAATTGGCAGATGGACAGGTTTGGAAAATATGAGGGCCCATATCCTACAAATAGAAAAAACAATACACTACATAATTCTTGACTTTGGTTGAGCTCAAAATTAGAAAATTTCTAGTCAGTTTTAAAAAAATTATTTAAAATATAATAATACTCTATGAACTTACATCATAACCAGCAATAAGCAGCCCAACACCATATGGTCTCCGGCCATATCTTTGCGTTGGTATCTGGGTCTCTTAAACTAGTTAAAGAGCCTGTTCCAACAAGGAATAAAGTACTACCTTTATTTTCAAATTAAACATTATTAACAAAGAACTCTGGTTTCTTAATTGCTGCATCATCTGTTAATACCACAGGAAGAAGACAAAACAGATCAGTATTTCTTTGGTCTAGTATTAAAAAATCTTGAGCTATCCACCATACCCAATAACTAATGCTAACAAAATGTTCTCCTCCCATGGAGAGAACCTCATTCATTTTGGATATAAGAAGTCAAGGATTTGGGGGGACATTTAGAACCACCAATAAAAAACTTTAAATCTCCTCTAAAAATGATGCTTGGATAGTTTTCTTAAAATTGAGCTTATCTGTGTCTGGAAAATTTCAATTGCTTATAAGGGCTGATGAAAGAGCAAACCAATTTCTGATTTAGAACCTATTTTTCCATGGTAAAACTTCCCACAACTCTCCTATTTTAAACATTGTTACTGAAAAGTAATTACCATTTTTTTTCACAATCTTACTTATGTTATATATTGTTATGTAAAGAGTGTACTCCTAATTATATTCCTAATAACTAATGTAAGAGTTAAGTATCAAAATCCTTGAAAGTTCACGCCCAAAATGCTAACATAAAAAGGATACTGCTTCCAATTAGAGCTACAAGACGAGACACAGGAAGAGGTCTGTCAAATACAAATCTGGAATCCAAACACTCCTGGCGCATAAAATTACTAAAAAAGAAACCAGAAAAATTAGTAATTTCAAATCACAGTTATTCATATCTAAATACTTTGATTTCTTTTTGCTTTCTGCTAGACATTTACATGGATTACGTTCATATTGGGCAATCAGAAAGACACGAAGGATACATTTTTGCACAAACTCTGGGATCACATGGGGTTAAAAAAAAACACTAAAATATTCCTTAGTTCTAGAAAACCTTTGTCACACAGCACTTTATAGAATAGAGAAGGCTAAGCAAGAGAAAAAGAGTACTCTCTCTTCTATCCTTATTTAACGATGATATACTTCAAAAGTGGCTAGTCTAAATTGAGATGTATGGTAAATACAAAATACATATGAAATTTCAGAGACAGTATAAAAAACAATATAAAATATTTCATTAATAGTTTTAATATTGATTACATGTTGACATGGCAATATTTTTGATAGACTGGGTTAAATAAAATGTTTGACAGTGCAATATATTTTACATTTTCAAGAGTTGACAGAAACCAATAATGCTGTCACTATATTGCTGGCCTAAGAGAGCAAGAGCTCTCTAGATAACTAGAAAATCATAAACATTAGCCTTACTATTTGCCTCCATGGTTATATTCTTTCTTCCCTAATTAAATCTGACTTAAAAGATTAGTTTTGGCTCACTACTTCCCATCTCCCAATACACACACTCACATATTACCTGAAATCACTGTGTTAAATGCTCTGCATGTTAGGCTATTTAACAATAACCTTGAAAGAGAAAATACTAAAAAAAATTGAGCGTTTAAGTAACTAACTCAATCTCAGATACTAAGTGGTAAAGGTGGGAACTAAACTCAATCTGTGTGATTTCAAAGCCTTAGCTTTGAAAGGTATTTACACAATGCCTCTGAACTAGAAATAATCTCTATCTCCTGTGGACTCTCACAGAAATCTACCTGTTACTCTCCACTTTCTACTTTGTATTATAGATGTACTACTAGATTTTAAATTCCTGGAAGACAAGATCTATGTCTGATTCACCTTTGTATACCCTGTAATATCCAGAACTGAGCTTTGCAAAATAAATGCTGGCATATTAAAGAAAGCAAGGGTAGTTCAGCTGATTCTTAGAAACCAGATACAAGTTGTCAAGCTCTTCTTAGACATACATTATCTCAAGCAATATACACTAAGTTAACAAGTATCACATTATTCAGTGACTTCTCAAAAGTGTTAATATGGTTAATTCTATTGGTTACTATTACAGGGATCAAGAAATAGAATACTTAGTAACTGAGCCTAAATCCACTCAGGTATTCACAATCTTAACTTAAACATGCTCTGGTAGACAACTTCCTAAAATATCTTATCAGGATCTTTTCTAGAATGGAATCAGTTATGAATCAAAAGGGGTGTTTCTTTTGTTTTTCATGATCATACTCACCATAACAGTCTAGCATCAGCAGTAAGTCCTGCAATTGAGATACCAATATGGTTGTCAACATGGAGAATTTTTTTCTGATGAGCTGCGAGTTCTGACTGTGCTCTCTAAATAGAGGGAGACATTATGAGACATAAAAGCAAGTTTACAATTTTATTATCTGTCCAGTGAAACATGTTTGACAGTTCTATTTTTTATTAAACGAGGAAAATATACTTAATATACTTACCTTCAATGCAACCAACACTGCATGGGTTTTTGATTTCAGACCAACGGTAGCTGAACCTTGTTTGACAGCTTCCATTGCATATTCAATTTGATGAATCCTGCCCTAAAGAAGAAAAACCAACACAGCTCAGAGTCATCTTACAAGACCCTTTTTATAAATTTAAAATTAATTGAGTTCCCAAATCTCAGATGAGCATAGTCAAATCTCAAAAATTTTTTAAACCAGGAAACTTACTTTAATGATAAATTTAGGTTCCAGGAATGTCTAAAATGATGCTATTCTATCTTTTCATAGCCTACAATCTTATGAGTTTCTAAACATATTGCAGCCACCAAAAGCCACTTCATAGAAATAGTATAAAACATTATTTTACCTGAGGGCTCCAAACAGTGACATCATTGTCATACTGGTTGCGAAACTGAAAGTAAAAAAAGACTTATTAATATAAGAACATTAAAAATCCCAACTCTTAACAAGCTCTATCATTAAAAAAAAATGTTTCCATTCAACATTAACACAATGCTGTTAATACAACCTTATTGTAAGATTACTACAGTATTATTCAGTTGCAAGCCGATTCTACATTTACCATGAGCTACTGGGGGAAAGGGAAAGCAGATCTAGATGGGACCATTTTCCCAACTTCCAATTTCACCACTGTCCATAGCACTCCCTTTGGGTTCAGTCAATTACTAAAGTTGCTATCTGTCAACTTTACTTCTTACCTTTGCCAAAGTTCTTCCCTTATACCAGGCCCTAATAGTCAAAAGCATTTCTTTTCTTTAAACTAGCTCAAATGTCTATCTCTTGGTCTTCTCCATCTTTTCCAAAATCCCCCCAGCATATACTCCCACCAGTTCTTTACTTGCACATCCCTTTGTACCTTATGATTAAGGACATGATTGATTTATCTTTGAACCCTCACTGCACTTAAAACAGTGCCTTGCACATGCAGACATTCAAGCTGAATGAATCAACACAAAAATGTCCCCAGGAAGTTGGAGGTGGACACAAATAGTTACCGCGACTAAACCATTACTGCTTTAATGACGGTATTAAAACAAGTCTACCAGAGCAGTACTTGGGAGCATAATCATGACGGTGAGAAAGTTGAGTGCTGGAATGGCAGACATAGGACTGGAAGCCCTGACACCTATGTTGTAATCCTGATAACATCACTCCTTTCATCTGTAAAACTAGGTGACTGGACAAAGTGATTGAAAAGGGCCTTTTCTGATCGGGCTCTAGGAGGAAAATGAGACGGACCCACCAGGAAAATGGACAACGTAAAGGAACCCAAAACCTGGGGTCAAATCTGCACTGGCAGTACAGGGAGGCCTCCAAGTCAAGTCCCTATTTCCTCCTCTCCCCTCTCCCCCCCACACACAGCACGAGGAGCCACTCAGGACAGCTCGCAACCTACTCCACTGAAGGAACTTGAGGGGGAGAGTTCGGCTACTTGACGGAAGGAGTTGTGTCCGAAGCCCGGCAGAAAGCTAAACAAACCCCGATGAAAGGCCGCAATGACTACCGACCGCCCCTCTCCCGGCTAGGCCAGAGATGCTGAATCACTGCCCGAACCCTCCCGTCGGCTGAGGTTTCCATGCCCCGTGGCCCCGGGCCGCTCTAAGGATGACAGGGCACCCGGCTCACCATCCGCCAGTTAGCGGGCCTCTGCCCCAACCCTGCCTGGGCTTGGAATCCAACGTACCATGTTTCCCTCGCGGGCCTGGCTGTACCCTTCAGTAGAGATGCGGATCAAGGAACACTACCAAACCGAAACCAGCTCTCGGCGATCTACAGAGACGTCTGCGGGATTTTGACGGCGGCGGCGCAGGGGAGAGCAGTCTATCCCAGAGATATCGATAGGCTTCTAACGCTTCCCCGCCCTCAGAACGCTCAGCCGCTAAAGGTGGGCGGGGCCTCGGAAGATGGGGGAACGGAGATTGGCCGGAAACTGGCCAGGAGCGCCCGAGGCGGCGAACAGCCTCTACCGAGTCGCCCTTCTTACATCGTCAGTGATATTACCTGTGTGCTGCAGATTCCCTCCAGTTTCTCACCGGCCCGACCGATGCACCTGAAGCCGCTCCAGACGACAGCTGCGACTCGGAGTGACTGAGTGTGCCGCTCTCAACCTCTCATTCAGCGTTCACAGAAATTGGGGGTGTTGTGTGACTGAGGATCGAGACTGCCACAAGAGAAGCCAAAAAAATAATGGTCCGTTTCTGTGTGTCAACCGTATTCTTCCTCGAGTACCTTGTTTAAATACATGCTTTTCTTTCTACTTTGAAAGCCTTTCCCCGCTCCCTGGAGAACTCATCTGTCAAGGCTCTGTTGTCATTGATGACTCTTTATTGGTTTTCCCCCATCAGACTTTGAACTCTTTGAGGGCATTACCTTCTGTGTCCTCAGAACCAAGCACGACTCCTAAGAGATTAGGCCACTAAGGAAGGCGAAAGAAAAAAAAAACATTTTATTTTGAAATATGTATTTTTTACTTTGAGAGCATCTTTTAGTAAATCCCCAGATTATATATATTGTAGTTTAAGACAGCAAACAGCTGCCAATCTAACATCTACCGACTGCCAACGATGACTTATTTTCTTTGTAAAGAAGGAAGAATGAGTACCTAGACTCAGGTAAGGTACGAGTTGAAAGTGTCCATAAGGATCTGAGCTTTGTAGATGAAGTAAACTCAAATCACTTAAGTGATTTATACAAGTTCAGAGCAATTTAGTATCACACTCTTTTCAAACCTTTTCACATATATTTTAGACATTTTCCTGGTTGAACACAGCTTCCTAGTATTCCACCTTATAAACGTGATATTTTATTTACCCAGCTGCCTCTTGTTTAATATTTAGGTTACCCTTCTCCCAAGCAACTCATTTATAAGCTGCTTTATATATATATATATATATTATCTGTGTTCCTTTTTTTTTAAGCTGAACCATCCAGCCACCTGTTGGCAGCTCAGCTCGGGCCAGGAATCAAACCTGCGACTCTGTTGCTCAGAGCTCGCACTCTTGAGTGAGCTCTTAACCAACTGAGCCACTAGGCTGGCCCTCTGTGTTCCTTTCTTTAGAGTCAATTCCTAAAAATGGAATTGCAGTGTCAAATGAAGTTGGTATTTTTAGGTTTTGATAAAAGTGCTAAGAGTTGCCTTCCAGAAATGTTTTACCAGTTTATAGCTCAACAGTAGCATGTGAGAGTGCCCTCCTTAAATTCACAAATATTTGTTGTCATTTTTAAAAATCACTTAATCGGTTAAATTAACATTTAAATTAAAAGATTGTTCTAGCAATTACTAAGTGTTTAATAGAGCTTGTTGAATTGTTGACGAAAAACATTCAGCCTAAGAGAAAACTTATAGGAGTTTATTTGAGCCAAACTGACAAACAGTTGCCGGGAAGCAAAGTCTCAACGGATTGAGAAAATGCTGCAGAAAATGGCCATTTTGCAACTTATTTTATACATTACAATCAAAGGAGGAATGTTACATTAAATCCATTTGCTGTAGATTAAGGGGGTGGGAGAAAGCAAAGCAGGGAAATCTCTGGGATTGGATAAAAAGTAAAATGGAGAGACACACAATTCTTTTACATTGGTGGGTACAGCATAATTAATAGCATTTTACAGCACGTAGAGATAGTATTTGGGGAACAAGATAACAATGAGGGTCTTTGTAGTTTCCTGCTCTGGTGTGGTGGGTTGTGGCCCCTGGGGGGTCTGGAAAAAGAGATTACTTTGATATTGTAAGGGTATGTCATCTTAGATGCAAAAAGAGGAGAGACAGGTTTAAGGTAAAGATGGACCTTTCTCAAGGAAGCTACAGGCCAAGGATGTGACTTCCTGCCATGGCCCACCTTTGTTAGAAATTTTTATGTTCACGCCATCCTCTGTGTTTTTTTCAGTCTCCTGAGCTTGTCAGGTTTAACATGTGGCCCCTTTTCCGCCCACAGAATGAATAATGAATGTTGAATAATTAAATAAATGCTCGTGTAAAAGTTGTTATGTAGTGCATAAACATTTTGAAAATTCTTTTCTGCATATGTACATATTCACATACCTCACAAATGTGTATATAAATATAAACTTTTTTTTGTACAAATAAGATTATACTAAACTGTTTTATACTACACTTGGAAAGTCATGGCTATCTTTTCATGTCTGTAAGTAATGATCTATATCGTTTTCAACAATTGCGTAATAGTTCATTGTGTGGAAATACAATAATTTGCTGAATAATTAGTAATGAGTAAGTAGATTATTTCCAAGTCTTTGCTAGTATAAAAATACAATAATTAATATTCTTATATATGTATATTGCAAAGCACCAAAGACTGAAGTCCAAAACTCTTGTGTTTCTAGGATTCTTCTGGTAGATCACGTCATGGACGGTGTAAGTACCTGACCACTGCAGTGTACACCTGAAGCTGAAGCTGAATAGTAATGAATGTCAGCTATCATTTAATATGTATAGAGTCACAGGATGTGGAGTACAGCATAGGGAATAGAGTCAGTGGAATTGTAACAACTATATAAGATGTCAGAGGTAGTAGATTGGGGGAAGCAGGTTATCACTTTGTGAGGGGTGTAAATATTTAGTTATTACATTGTTTTGTACACCTGAAACTAATAAAAAAAGTGGAAAAAAAAAGAAATCTTTAAATTTGGAAATATTTATAGTAAATTGTGGAATTGATTGCACTTTGATGTCATCATGCTAGATATTATCTGTTGCCTCTATAGCTCTACTTCACCTTTTATGGATTCCATCAGCAAGTTTCCTTCCTCTCTGGCTTCTGGTTGAGCTCAGCTAATGGAGGGCAGTGGCAGGAGATCAGAAGGCAGCAGGAGATAGAGATCAGTATATTTATCACCCTATCTCCCTCCATGTTGGTGCCAGGTTGGCAGCGGTGCTACATCGTCTCTTGCTGTTCCCCTGACCACCTTCTGATTATGCTCTCTTTAGTTGCCCCTTTATGAGTGTGCCAGTTGTTTCTTGCTGGGACCCTGACTGATACAATAATATTTAAATTTTTTATAGGGTGCAGAAGATGTACAATAGTTTTTATTAATGTGAGAAAAACCTGTTATCTTTTCTTGAAGTTTAGTGTATGTTATACTTACAGGAACAATACTGGTAGGTCTGAAGTAGCTGGAAAATAATAGAACCTGAGATCATACGTGCTCTTCCCTGTTTTCTACCTGCTCAGATATATAGGAAAAAAGTCAGTTTGCAATTGGTCTTATAATTGTTTTCCAATTATAAAAGGAATACACACTTATTTAAATTGTTTTCAAGTGCGGACAATTTGAAGAACAATCCCCTATCATCCACAAGGTAGAGAACATCACAGTTAAAATTTTAGTGATTTTATTCCTACAATAATATCTCTCTAAAGAAGGGAGGAAAATATCCCAAGAATATATTTTCCAAAATTTATAATATGTAATACATTGTCTGCGTGTGCATATGCATATTGTGGGTGTCACTCTCATTCCGTAGAAAGAAATACTGCATTTCTTTAGATCAACTTGAATCTAACCCTGAGCTTACATCCTGCCATACTGTGGAAATTCAATCTCAGCTGTTACTGAGCATTTCCTTTTTATACAGGAAGTTGTACAGAGTTTCTAAGACCTTAATTATTGTGGAAGTACCTATAATTATCTCAAGTTATTTGGTCTTCTGTCCACATTGATTTACTTCTGAGATTCCCTTTTGTGCCACCTTTCCTTCAGGCGTGGTGACCCCGGTATTCCTTTACCACCCTTGGAACCAAGAATCTGGAATCAAGTGAGTAAATCTGGCAGCCCCTGAACCCAGTGCAGTCTTGCTCTTTGAGGTTGTTCCACCTGGGCCGTGTCACAGAGCAAGACCCAAGTCTTAGCTGTTCACTCAACTGACAGGCGTCAGACTCCTAAATCTTGAGGAATCTCTCTTCTACCTCACCCTCGGAGGCATCTCTCTCTCCCTCCCTCCCCCTCTAAGTTGTCTGTCTCTCCTTGTCACCCTCTCAGCGTGTCTCACCTTCTGTGTCTGTCCTTATCTATCTCTCTG